CTCCGGCCCGGCCCGGCCCGGCCCGGCGGCCGCCTCCTTCTCCGGGCCCGAGACGTCCCGCTTACCTCGCCACAGTCACCCCCATTCCCACAGATACCCCCACACCCTTCCTGGGGACACCCCCGTCCCTACAGCCACCTCCATCCCCTCCACACAGACACCCCTATCCCCACAGATACCCCCACACCCTTCCCGGGGACACCCCCCAGCGCTGCAGCCTCCCTCATCCCCTCCCCATGGGCAGCCTGATCCCCACGGACACCTCGCTCCCCACAGCCACCCTCACAGCCCATCTCCGCAGACCGCCCCCATCCTCAAAGCCACCCTCATCCCCACAGCCATCTTCACACCCCATCCCCATGAGCACCTCCGTCCCTGTCCCACCAAATGCCCCCAATTCCTGCTCCAGTGTCATCTCCATCCCCACAGCCACCCTTGTCCCAGTCCCTCCAGCCAAACTCACCACATACCTATAGGCACCCTCACCCTCAATCCAACCTAACCGCTGCCCCCACATCCCTCCTCACTTTGCCCCATGGCTTCCTTCCTCCCCAGCTAGCACACACTATGGCCACCTCACCCCCATCCCTATGGCCACCCTCAACCGCACAGCTACCCTCTCCACCATCCCCTCACCGACCCTCACCCTTATTCCTACATCCTTCACGCTTGGACCTTCGCCCTTGTCCCCATGGCAGCTCTCCCCCAGCCATCTCTCCTCACAGCCACCCTGTTGTGCCTGCTGCCGTACTTGACCATGCCCGTGGGCTCGTATCCCAAAAAGTCATGCTGCACTGCCTTCTCTTAGCTGTGAGAAGGCCAGCGAGGACCCAGCCTGCGCTGGTGAAAATCTTCCCCACTTTTTCCAATGAAAAGCCAACCCTGCCAGGCATCGTGAGGGCCTCAGGGGAAGCGCAGCTGAGCCAGCCAGCCCAGGAGTTACACAAGTCCCTCCGAGACAGGGCAGAAAGGGGACAGACCAGGGCCAGGGGCTCATTATCCGCCTGAGGCCCGGCTTCTCTGGAGCAAAGTTGTGGCTTCTAGAGCCTGTACTGTAAACTGATTCTACCTGATTCTACTTTACTACTGTAAACTGATTCTACCATCTAACTGATGCGGCCTCAGAATCATTCACTGGTTTGACTTTGTTCTTATAGACCGCATTTTTACCTTCTTGGTATGGAGGAAAAGTATAAAATCTCTCCCCTGTTCCTGAAGTCTCCTTCTTTGGCTACTGAAATGAGTTTGAGGATTCATTAATAAAGCAGCCAATTGATTTAGGAGTTAATTTTTAAGGACGCCTCTGGGAATGGAGCACTTGTGCCTGTATAAATTTTATCTCAAATAGTCTTTTATAGCAGAATGAGAGATCCTTCAGGCCCTGCTGGAGTTATAACTTAATGAAATGAATTACACTTGTATGCAGGTTGCACTCAGAGAAACTCGATGGCAGGGACCGTAAGGATTCATTATCGCTATTCCAGGCACTCATGATTTGTATTTACAGACAAAGTTAGGACAACGAGCAGACTCCCCTCTACCAACAGTATCTCAGGTGGGGCAGCAAAAGAACTTAGTGGGAGGAACGTCTATGTGTGATGGGTGCTGCTAAGTGCAAATGAGCCACACAGCCCAGAAGTGGGACTGCATGCAGCCACAGACCCACTAGCACTTCGCAGTGTGAATCTGCTGGTGGTTAAACCAGATTGGCATGGCCTTCCTTTGCACTTACCTCCTCAGCCACCTCTGAGAGGCCACAGGCACAGTGTATGGGCATACCAAATCTCCTTTTTCTTGATTTTTAATACCTCTAAAGAGGGCCTGGCCAAGCATTTGGAAATGTGACTGTTACATTAAGCATATTAATGGCTTGCAAATTAAGATTCTGACTCATTATATTCCAGCAGCTTCATTATGTTCCTGTGATGCAGAGCTCTTATAAATACAGCCCAGGTAACTAGTAAAAATTAAATTAAACCCAAACACTGTCAGAAAGCTATAGATGAGACTTCTGTCTGATACAGTTATCTTTTCAAACAGCTGAAGACCTTGCACTGGGGCTACTTAGAGCTTCATCCTTTATCAAATCCCTAGTCAAAAATTGAATTATGCCTATCCAATGAACTTGGAAAGAGTTCTGTCCAGGTACAGTCTGCACGAATATCTGCCAAATACTATATTTCTGTCTCTGTGCTGGTTGTAGAGTTTGTGGATGTCACGTTGGAGAGCAGGGACAAGTCTGTGTGATTTTAGAAATGGAGGAACATGTGTGCATCTGTGCGGCATAGGAAAGGAAAGAATATGTTGTGTGAGAGGAATGTGCAAACATTTGTGTCTCTCAGCAGCTGTGAATCAGTGCTGGATTTGCAGGCAGAGAAGAAAAGCTGTGCTAACAAGAATGCAGGGCTGAGGCCTTGTGACTGACTGGTTTACACTTCAAACATTAAATGCTGAGAAAAGTGACTTTTAAAACAGAGACAAGAGCAGAGGGCAGTCTCACTCTCTGCTAACAAAATGACTAGAGACCAGATGTTGCAATAGAAAGCTCTGCTTCAGCAGTGTAACTGGCACAAGAATCACTGAGAGTTCGAAAGGGCAGAAAATAAATCCCCATGTGTCTGGATGAGGGATCAGTCACTAGAACAGGATTCATCTCAGCTAAATGGAGCCAGTAGGTGTTAAGTCTGTGCTCACCATCCAGACTTCCCTTCACTAATAGGGTGAGCCACAGAAGCACACTGTGATTGAGGTGGGAGGGGAGCTCTGGAGACCTCTGGTCCAACTCCCAGCTACAAGCACAGTCAATTTAGATCAGTTGCTCAGCTCCTTGTCCAGTCCAGCACCTTGTCCAGACCAGAGTTTACTATATCCTAGGATGGAAATCACATAGTTCTCTGGGCCTCTGTTCTAATAGCTGATACTCCTCCCAGGATCTTTTTTTCTCTAACATTGAATCAGAATTTCCCTTGTGTTTGTTGCTTCTCATTTGACCACGCTGCCCCTCAGAGAAGACTCTGGCTCCGTCTCCTCTACGCCCTCTTATGACGTAGCTGAAAACAGCAACAAGATCCCCCTTTAGCCTTCTCTTCTGAAGACGTAACTAACCTAGCTCTCATATGTCATGTGCTTGAGCTCCCCTAATCCGCTGGGTGGCCTTCCCTGGACTGACTCCAGGATGTCATGTCTTTCCTGCATTTGGGAACCTTAAACTGGACACAGTCTCACCCCACAGAGCAACACAGCCCTTCCCATTCTGGGCGTCCTTCTCAAGTGGTCATAACTGTCTCTTCTTTCCCCTTTCCAAGGGATAGGATGAATGGTGACAAGATGCTAAAATAACATGTAATTAATATCCTGGAACTTGAATTTAGGTTTACTGAAGTCGATGGACCTTTCAGAAAAGGAAATATAAGTGGCAGAATGCCACATTGTATTCTCCCAGTCTCACATCCTGCCCCTATACTGGGCTGGGGTGCACAGAGGATGTGAGACTGGGGTGTGCACAGAAGGAATTGTCTCCAGAGTGTTCTAGGACTTAATCACTCAGAGACTTCTTGACCAAAAGCGAGTGTCCTTCTCCAGAACAAACATCCAGATTTTCCTTCCACATATTCTCTGTTTCTTTCTTTCTTTTAAATTCCTATTGATGTTCAGCAGCCACAGTATTGTGCAGCAAGCACCTCCATTGCTCAATAGCAACACGCATGAGGAAGCACCTCTATTTTATTGATTTTACCACACGGTAATGTCACTTGGTGCCCCTAGAGTTATTTTGAAAGACAGTTTCTCTCCATCATTCAGGATTGTGTGGACCTTTATCATATGCACCTTTGTTGTCCTTCCACTGAGGAGTCCACATCTCTGCAGTTGTTCTTCAAGCTTGTTCATAAGCTCAAAGCAGGTTGGTTTCCCATCATGAAGACCACTCTTTACCATAATATTTTCACTTTTACAGCAATGCTTGTTGCTACCATTCTTATGTTCTTCCTACTCAAGAATATACCAGCTAGAAGACAGCAGTTCTTTAGCTTCAACTCTGAGCCTCTTTAGTACCAGGAAAGCTCTAAGAATATGGTCCCCTCTGTATTACCTGTCACATGCCCCCATTCTTCCTTAGACTATGTAGAAAGTAATGATACTCCTGGTGCAAATGAATGTTGTAGCACAACATATACTGCAAAGGAGCTTGCAGAAGCAGAGAGAGGGGGAGTAATGTGACGGCTGAGAGGGTGGTAAGGTGCAAAGGAGATGTAGTGCTTTCTGTCTCCTGTTGATTTTGGGAGCATAAGCATTCCTCCTTAAGCAAGGCAGCCATAAGTGCCCCACACTTCAATGGGGCTGGTGCCCCACTGTGCTATGGGAGATGGAAAATGTATTAGGATGGATCGCCTATTACAACAGACAGCGTAAAGACCACAGCACAGTGGCTAGTTCACCAGCTGGGAGGTCATGGGCAGACAACAGATCTGGACGAAATTTGTTCTATCAGTCAATGCTGTGAT